ACGCGCGCGCAGGGCGTTACCGCGTGGCAGAGGCACCCCCCGTGGCGCGCAGAAAGGACCTCGGAGGTCGACAGCCGACAAATCGGCTGAATTTACTCCGCGAAACGTTGCAGCTCAGTTAAAATAAACAAGTAAACATCTCGGAGATAGCGCGGATTTGATTATATCGTTATCTCGACGTCGGCTGCATTAATGCGCGAAATTTTTCCACTGATTTCCCGGCTACCGAGATTTTATCAACGCTCTACGGTGACCACAACAACGTGCGAAAAAGGGGAGAATAAAAGTAAAACTCCCGCTGCGAGTTATTACACATCCAAATAAATAACGCGCTCGTGACACGGGAAAATTAGTTTTTCATGTACTGGATCCTTTTTAACGCTCTTTTATCTCTGAAGGGATATTTCGTGTATAATTAGAGCCGTTGATATTTTCATAAATCGAAACTCTCTCTTGGCCATTGACCCAACTCGTGTTCCAGTAAGTACGCATAGAGTTAACGCGCGGACGAATCAGCTATACGAGCGCTTTTATAATGTATCAAATAATCACAATAAATCATGCGTAGAAAGCAAATAACGGAATCGTAGAAAACCTTTAAGTGAAATACGCTCCCATGACGTACGATTGTTTCCGAATGATCGTTGGAAATTAATGAATTTTTGTCGTTGAATAAGTTCAATATTGATTTTCATATTCGACACGAGTGCCCAATAATCCGTGCACAAATATATAATAATCGGCACGAGTTTGCACACGGATTTGCCCCGATACACACTACATACTATATGACCGGTATTATTATGTATTATTGGTGGCAAACGAGGAAAACGCCCCGGCAGAGCCGATGTCGTTGCATTTAATCTATTGTTCTTAGGCTGGGCAAATAGTTTCGTGCCTCATCGAGTGGAATGATCGAACAACAGCTCATTAAATTGTATCTGAAGATATTTCAGCGCGTAGCGCGCACGCACACGCGCTCAAACTCACACATGTAGTACCGCTTAAGTACGAACAAAGATACATAATAGACGCGCACGCGAGAGCTGCAATACTAGCTCGCGCGCTTACGCTCGGTCTCGCTCGAGCTCGCTCGGGATCGATATATTATATAGCTTAATTAAGCGCTTACACCTGTATGTACACGCCTACCTAAGCGTATATTGACGCGCAAGATCGTTTGGCTTTGCGCAAGTAACGACGAAGAAAAAAAAACAACAACGTATAAATTTAATTTCAAGCATAAGATAAACTGCGCGATTTTTCCATATTATCGAAAACTAAGCGACGCAAATATAATTATTACAATAACGATGTTGCAATTTTACTTCTGAAATACTCGTGCGGTTTTTGCAATTATCTTATCCCTTTCTCACGATACGATGATCTTTCCTCGTATGCTCTTTGCTATCTTACAGCGATACGCACGTTAGTTTTATTAGTTTGTTTTTCTCGACGAGACCAACTCCCGCGAGAGCGTCACACGTTATAATTTCAAATAAAAGCTAGAGAATCAAGTGAGAATTTTTACAAGAAGCTTGAAGTTGTATTCATCGAGGACTTGTTTCATTAAAAAATCTCATTCTCATTGTTTTTTCTGCTGAATCGTAGATAGTTGACTTTGAGGACGACTCTGTTGATTAACATATGTTAATGTCAATCGCTTGTCTTTCAACTATTCAAAAAACAATAGCATATACAATTTTTTAAATTATGAAAAATACTCAAGCGTTGCGAGGATGTCAATTATATTTAGATCAAACTAGCTCATTAAGTTTGTAATAAATATCATTATAATTAAAGTGATCAGTTGAAAGAACCAATAGATACCCAAAAGCTTAAACTTTGAAAAAGAAAAAAGTAGTTTAAAAATCTGTTTTTTAATTCTGCAAATGCCGCTCATTACGAAAGTAATGAAAACGTTCCAAGTATACGTAGCAGCGAGTCACACCACGCAACAGAGATAATGCTGTTTTCGTTGAAAAAAGCTGCACGCGCACTTACTTGATACCTATATGGACTATTCCACGTCAAGCGTGGTATGTCAAAAAAAAAATGACTTTCAGACTAAGTGTGTATTCTGAAAGTCGTATAAAAGGCCAAAAAAAAGTTGTTCGTATACCTTAAATTGACCAATATTGAAATATGTTCATCGATACATCAAAATACAACTTTTTAACTGGTGGCATAATGGGGAAATCAATAGATTCTATTCTACAGCATACATTAGACCAAAAAACATGTTTTTTCCTCATTTTTCATGTTTTTTTGGTCCTTAATATGCTGTCAATCTATTGATTTCCTCTATTATGCCATCAGTTAAAAAGTTGTATTTTGATGTATCGATGAACATATTTCAATTTTGGTCAATTTGAGGTATACGAACTTTTTTTTGGACTTTTATACGACTTTATGCTATTTGATTATTTTTAAGGTTATGAATGTGATTTTTGAGTACAAATTCGAATTCTACATCAAATTTTACTTGAAAAATCAAAATATGACTCATCAAGTTTTTTATATTCACCCCAGAAAAGCAAAATAATAAGCAGAAATGCATCAGAAAATTAAAATCCAACTTTGAGCCCCTGTAGATCCATGAGGGATAGACCTAGAGGGCTAAAATATTAAGGATTTTCATTTTTCAATGCCCTCTTTAATAATACGTACTTAGTCTGAAAGTCATTTTTTTGACATATCACGCTTGAGGTAGAATAACCCATATGCTTTTTCAGTGGATGCGTGTGCCACGCTCTGTATACCTGCGCGCGGCGCGCACACACACATTATTATACATACATCACATTTCGAACGGCGCGCACGTGCATATAAGTAACAGTTTAAAGCTCACGTAATACCTCGCTAAGGCTATTACAGGCGCGTAACGAGCTTACGAAATTGCTAGATTCAAGAGAGCTGGCTCGAGAGAATGAGAAATGCAGTCGTCGGTAACCGTAGCTAGCAGGGGCGCAAGCTCTCGCGCGAGCGCAAACTGAAACGCAGTTTACGTTCATTAGAGATGAAAATATACAATGTATGCATGGAAACGAAAACCTGCGTACCTGCTATTTCCTCGGGGAAGTATCGCTAAAGCAGCTTTCAATCGAGGTTAATAAGATTACGACGATTTGTAAAATTTCACGAGGAAGCGTGCGTTGTTCGATCTCGCCGAGCCTGCGTGAAAATGTGCAATTCTTATCGAAAAGGAACTCTTCGAGTTTTCGCGTGCATACATTTCTGAGCTCGCATTTTTTTCGAGTTTAGAGTCTTTTGTGCTGTGTATTAAGCAATTGCGATGAGTTGGGCCTCGAGCCGTAGAACTTGCTCAGGTAGCTGCGAGCCAGCTCGTGTTTTAGATGTTGATTTTATTCTTTCTCTCACTCACAGTGCTAGTCTTGCGTACTCGAGAGATGCCGTGACGTCGTGAAGATACGTCGCTCAGAGCGAATGTAGCTAGAAAATGAAAAAAGAAAGGGAGTCACAGAGATCTAACATCGCTTTTTCTTCGCAAGAGGAAAAAAAACGTCAAGTTGAAAGCTGCTTGGATCCGTTCCATTGCTATATATACGTTGTTTCTTACAAATTTACTCGGCTTTGTGAGCGCGATGCTCGTGAAAATATTTTCCCCCAACTTTCCCAGGCATGACGAGACTATCACTACTTCGTCAGTTGCTTCATCCTGTGCGCCGTATAATGCCACAGCTGAAGCCGGTTTATACTCCGATAACAAGTAACACCGAGACTGTCGCTGATCGTTTTCTATGCCGTGCAGTCGATCGAATTTATGTAAAAGATTGCATCCTGATGATTTTTATCATTAAAAGCGAATCCAACACGTTGTAGGTATTGCACTACAAGTGTTATGCCGATTTGAGTAAATTTTTTTACCTCGTTATAAAAATTGATGGATATTACTCGGCGCGCAGCAGTAATTCACGATTATCGTAATAAAAAATATTTTATTAATTCGGATCCTCGTGCACGAGCTATCAGTTAAACACTCGTACGTCACGAGATTGTGTGTTTTTTTTATCGATCATCGCGTGTCGAGAAGACATTGATTTAGCTCGAATTTCTCGTAATATACTTTTTAAATATAATACGCGCGAGCGCACTAGCCACTCGAGAGTCTCTGAAAAATATAACCCGGCGATCTCATAATGAATGAGAAAAAAACGAAAGAAAAAAAAAGAGGGAAGAAAGTTACGAGGCGAAAAAAGGAATGAAAGCAGAGTAGTAAAGACTGCGAAATGACTATCGATAATATCAAGTCGACAAGGTGCGGCAGTAGCGGCGTCGGGCGAATCAGCCCTGCCAGTCGAGTAGGTTATATACTGAACGATGCGTTCACGTAAATGCACCTTATAAGATGCTATCTTATACCAAAGACACTTTTCTCCTTGTGCAACTTGGTGCGAGCACGAAAGAGACCTTTATAAGGTACCAAATATGAAGCTCTCTACGCGCTACGGCATGAAAAAAGCCTTATTGAAGTTGTAATAGATTTTCTTATTGGCTATAACTCCATGAACTTGCTGCCATGTATAGGTATGCTTGAGTAAGGATCGAATTATCACATGAATTATAATCAACTATTATGAATGTTAATGTACATATTTTTCGAAATAATGATGATAATTAAAATATTTAAACTTATAATTACGGGACATTATTTGAAAAAATATCATTATGAAAAACTGAGTAATCATCATAGAAAACCTTAATCAGATCTCAAAGGCAAATAGTTTTAAACGAGTCAAAAATTTTCAACGCAATTAAAAACTTGAATATTCCATATTTCAAATCAAACGACATAGCTTGAGCAACTTTTTCACCTCGGGTTAAAATATAATATCAAATCGGTGCTTTTTTATTAACAAAAAAAGATAGGATACATGCATTTGCACTGCATGTATTTGTTTTGCGAATAAAGTTTATCTCGAAACTTTGATGTATAATATTGTGATTGATGCAGTTGGGTTAATGATAAAACAATTAAATATTTTTAATTTTTATTTTTATTGTAATTGGAAAAATGCTATGAGCATTCAGTTATAAATCAACAAGTGCATGTGTAATAATTATAACAGTTCTGACTATCTATACATTCATAAAATTGAATATTTAATTATTTAATTGAAAAACTATCTATATTATAATGATATCACAGTATATCTTTATAGAGTGCGCAACATGATACAGTTGCTATATGAGGTTTCATCATTCCAATGGGAATATCCGTAACTTGGAATTAATATTTGAAAAAAATTGAGTATATGTTCCTAAATTATTGGCACTTGCTTTAATAACACATCTTCAATGTGCAGTAGGCGCTCTTGCCATCGGCTCGACAAACGCAGTAGTTGCACAAGCTGTAGAATGATTGACCGGGTTCACAGGCATCTCCTTGTTTGTACAGAGCTGATGAAAAAAAGAGAAAATTCATTTTAGCTAAAATTGTTAAAACAAAACTTTTTTTATCGTGTGAATTTTTCAAAATACTTACGACCATGCTTTTGGATTTCATTGATGTTTACTTCAGACCAGGGTTTGACAAGTGAGCCGTCCTTATTCCAAATGCCAGGAGGGCACATCATTCTTGTGCATGCAGCCATGGTACCGTCATCAGAGCAGGTGCATCGGTTGCAGTAGTTTTTGAAGGTGCTTCGAGGTTCACAAATTTGCTTGGGAGCGTTTAAACTTTTTGTCTGATCTTTTAGGCTTCCATCTTCATTCCAGATCGCTGGGCTGCACATCATTTTAGTGCAGGCTTTCATTGTTCCATCATCTGAGCAGCCGCAGTAGTTGCACATTTCCCTGAATGGTTTTCCAGGCTCACAGATTTGTCTTTTTGGCTCTTCTACTGGTGCGGTGCGGAGTACTTTTGGCGTTACTTTCAAAGTACCATCAGCGTTCCAGATATCCGGATGGCAGAACATTTTCGTGCAGGCTTTCATGGTTCCATCGTCGGAGCAGGTGCAAGTGTTACAGTAGTCCTTGAATGCGGTCATCGGTTCACAAATTTGCTTGGAAGCTTGCACAGTTTTCGTCTTGAGGCTACCATCTTCGTTCCAAACTTCTGGGTCACAGTACATTTTGGTGCAGGCTTTCATGGTTCCATCATCAGAGCAAGCGCAGTGGTTGCACACTTCCTTGAACGGTTTTCCAGGCTCACAAATTTGTCTTTTCGGCTCCTCTACTGCGGTGCGAAGTACTTTTGGTGTTACTTTCAAAGTACCATCGGCGTTCCAGAGGTCTGGGTGGCAGAACATTTTGGTACAGGCTTTCATGGTTCCATCTTCAGAGCAGATGCAGGTGTTACAGTAGTCCTTGAATGTGGTCATCGGTTCACAAATTTGCTTGGAAGCTTGCACAGTTTTCGTCTTGAGGCTACCATCTTCGTTCCAAACTTTTGGGTCACAGTACATTTTGGTGCAGGCTTTCATGGTTCCATCGTCAGAGCAAGCGCAGTGGTTGCACACTTCCTTGAATGGTTTTCCAGGCTCACAAATTTGTCTTTTCGGCTCCTCTACTGCGGTGCGAAGTACTTTGGGTGTTACTTTCAAAGTACCATCGGCGTTCCAGAGGTCTGGGTGACAGAACATTTTGGTACATGCCTTCATGGTTCCGTCATTGGAGCAGATGCAGCTGTTACAGTAGTCCTTGAATGTGGTTTTTGGTTTGCATATCTGTTTTGCAGGTTCAACACTTCGACCAGCTGCCTTCACTATTTCTTTCAAGCTACCATCGGCGTTCCAAATACCAGGGGGACAGTACATTTTGGTGCAGGCTTTCATGGTTCCATCATCAGAGCAGATGCAGGTGTTACAGTAGTCCTTGAATCTGGTCATCGGCTCGCAAATTTGTTTCACTCCTGCTGATCTACCGGTATTCAATGACTCGTCCTTGAAGCTACCATCAGCATTCCAAATTTCTGGGTCGCAGAACATCTTCGTGCAAGCTTTTTGAGTGCCGTCCCTTGAGCAACGGCACGTGTTGCAGTAGTCTTTGTATTCACTTCCAGGCTCGCAAATCTGTCTCGGTGCTGCAGGAACTACTCCGTTTTCAGTATCGAACTTTTCGTCGTTGAAGCAGTATTTCAGGGTACACAAAGCGGATTGACCATCTTTGCTGCATTTGCAGATGTTGCAGTTATCTGGGCTGAAGGTTTCACCCTGCTCGCAGTACTTCTTTCCCTCGTCGAGACTGTAAGTCCTTGCCTTGACGAGATTGAAACCCAGAGTGCACATCGCATGCTGACCATCGCTGGTGCAAGTGCAGTCATTGACTGCGCTCAGCTGGAAACGTTGGTTGGGCTCGCAGAACTGTTCGGCTTTTCTAAGTGGGCTGCTGCTACCAGCAAAACCTGATGGGCAGAGCATGTCGGTGCAAGCTGCTCTCTTCCCATCCGGTGAACAGTGACAAATGTTGCATTCATCCTTGTATCGTAGTCCAGGTGTACAAAATAGGTCCGCTGTAAGATGAAGAATCGCAATTTTTAGTAAAGTAATTAACAATCGATGAGATTATTAGTTAAGCTGACTAGCGAAGAAAAAAATAATTACCTGAGACTGCAGCGGCACAAGCGAACAATACAACGATCAGAGATCTCATTGTTGCTTCGAATGTCTCTCAAAATATCTTCTTGTCAAAATTAATACTCGGTAAAATTTTATAAGTGAACTTTTGTTAGTGAAAACTTATTAAAAGGCTTCTATATTGCTTTGACTGTTCAATTGCTCGATTCGCAATGATCTGGCTGAATGAGCGAGGTGACGGTTCTTATATACTCGAAGTTTGCCGGCCGGCTCGGCGTGACGTCACACACGCGCGCTACGCGATTGCGAGAACTCGGAGGCAAAAGTTTTCCCCAGTAGAGGGGATCAACAAGCGCAACGCCGTACACAACTGCACTCGTGCACGAGCCCCACTCGAGCGGTCAGCGATTCCATGCGCTGCAATCGTGACTTCAGTCAGGCTACGCCGGCCTATCTCTTTCTCTTTCTCATTCGTGTGTGTGTGTGTGTGTGTGGGCAGACACACGCGAGCTACGGCCGGCCCGCGCGCAGAGGCTTTACCCGCAGAGAGAGATACATATCCGCGAGATAATCATAATCATGATCGTCGTCACTTACATAGCCGCGTACGCATTGCAGGTACATATATGCATTGAGAGATTAACCTGTTTGCGTCACACCCATTGCAGCGCGCGATACTCTCGGCACGTATGACTTGCGAATGTGCCAGAAGCGTATACGTTTAATATACAGGAACATTACAATTGTGTAATTCGACTCACAGCTGTGTCAGAGACATAATACCTTGTACCGACGCATGGGTAAACTTGTTTACTCCATATTATAATGCGAGCGCAATTTTTCCGATACATAATAGGCGCACGCATTCGTGCAGAGCCGCGAGCGGCGGGAAACTTTGTTTACGCACTAGCCGGGAAAGCCTCCGCTAAATATGCACGCGTCACTCGTTGCTTTCCTCGCGGTACCTTGAGAGCCATGAATAATCGTGTGACACAAATAGGCATCGCTGGCTAATCTGTTTACCCGAAAACCGGTCACCCCCCGCGATACGATTGTGCAGGGGAAATCTTTCGTCAACAAATTGATCGACTTGCACGATGATGTGCAGTTTTTCCATTGGACAACACATTCGCAATCGTTGAAGAATTCAAGGGCCACGCGTTTTTCAAAATCATCGCGAGGATCGATCTTTGGGTCAAGGCCGTTTATTCGTACGGACTGAAAGTATTCGGTGACCGCAGTACAATGTTCTAATCAATATAATCTCGGCAAATCAGAGCGATAAAATTTCAAATTTGCTCGGGGAAAAGTTTAAGATTGTCTGGATAAATCCGTAAAGCAGTATCACGAAATCTGCCTCTTCAAATGTCACTCGGCAGACCGAAAAGTTTCTTGCATACTCTCTAGCGCTGAAAAGTTTAATGACCTTTCGAAACTAGAACTCATCGGTAGTGTGGCGTTAGCGGACTTGTAACGCGAAATTTTATTTGAAAATTGCAAGCTCATTCGATAAACTGTTCTTCGGAAAAATATATAAATCACGAAAATAAAAGGATCAAATTCGGTGGAGTTATGTAGGCAAGTGTCGCACATATATACTTGAGCAAACAATATATACATAAAAGTCATCAAGAAGTTTAATTCCCGTTTGGTATAGTGGTGCAAAGCTGGCAACGCTTTTGGGCTGGTGTTGTAACTGCATCCCTCTCTTGTGAGCGCAAGCACGGTCTAATTAAGAATATACGACTTTGGGCTGCTGCTTCTGATGCTGGGAAAGTTGCCGCTACAGAAGCAGCAGCAGCAGCAGGGAAACGTTTGCACTTAGCGCGCGCGCGGGCGTATGCGACAGCGGCAACCTGATGCTATAAGGCACGTGCGAGCTCACTGTTGTCGAACTAAGGGTGTTTAGCTGCACCTTCGTCGCTCACGCTTCTGCGCACTCGTGATCAGATAGTCTGAAAATGACCTGGAAAAGTTTGCTCGCCTTTCTCGCCCGTTCTTGAGTTTTGAATGCAAATGCGAATGTCCAAAGAGACTTTGAGAATAATAAAAGTAGAGAGAAAGAGACTTTGAGCGAGCCTTGAATAGCTGCAAATTTCTCGAGGAAAATGTATGATTAGAAATCGATTGGAGGTACCCTTTGCAAGAAGAAATTTGCCGATAGTTTTTTAATCGAAAACGTGCGTACGTTTATTGGGAGGAAAACTTTGCGACTTTGAGCTTTTTTTCATTCAAATAAGATTACTTAGTGCACTCGACGATTAGAACTTTCATAAAAAATTTTCAAACTAATTACTTTGATTAAAAGAGATGCTCAAGCAATAATCGGTCGGTGAAGAGAATCAACCAAGGAAAAACATGATCAATCTATCATTTCTCTTTATCGTTAGATCTGCCCGCTTATCTTAACATGATCAGCCTAGAATTTTTTTTCAATCAATTTTTCTTGATAATACCAATTATAACAAACATATTTTTTGCACAAATAAATTATTATTTAAAAAAGTATATTATTTAATAAAACTTATCGAGTAAAGTCTCGAACGTTCTTCTTTGTAATTTAATCTAGAGCTTTGGGTAAGCCTATTTTAATTGCCTTTCCATTATGCATGTATGGAAGGTGATAATAAGTATATATAATTGAAAAAAGAAAAAAAGCAGTATTTTGAAAGGTCAAACTGCGAACGCGTGCAAAAAAAATTATTTTCCATAAAATTACGCTGGGAAGAGATAAAAAAATTTGCGTAGTTCAAGATTTCGTTTCATCAGCATTAATTGGAATTTTGTGTGGAAAGTTTGATTATAGTTTTACGATGTTTTGTTCGACGATAATTCGAATCTTTGGTGATAGGCGCGGTTCAACCCGGAAAAGTTGAGAAAAATATGAGAGATTTACGTCAAAATACACTCTAATGATTGTAACTTCTTAGTTTGTTTCATCAGGCAATAATATTAGTAAAATAAATTTTAACACACTTTGTGGCGTCCCACCTTGTTAGTCCATTCTTCGGAAATCTACTTATTACGTGTTCGCATCTCTCCTACGTCACATTCTTAAACTAGAGCAAATAAACCAAAAAGTAAAAACACCGTTTATTCGATATTGCAATCTTACCGGTTTTACAGAAAAACCTCAATTTTTTGACACGTGCTGTGCATCAAAAATATATTTTTAGTTCATAACAGGACTTTGTTAAAAATTTGATCTCTCTCTTAATCGTTCGCTCATTTTTGATGTCCTTAACTATTGATCTCTAGCCTTTGCTGGTGATTATGGCGGTAGTCTGATAAAAGAAATCGAGTTTCTATATGATTTTAACCTCATAAAACCCCATTTCTTCATCACACTGCAAGGATCACTAGCAGCACGTCGAACCTAATATTAGAATCAAGTTTCATTTTAAATTTTGATTTTGGTCGGGCTTTTAAGAAATTTTTAATATAGCTTCATAGCGATTATTATTTCATTAATAAATTTACGTGCTGTAAAAAGGATATCACTACTATTGACATAAAATTCTTAAGTTGCAATGATTTTTTGGTATGTTTAGAAAATTTTTTTTATTTATTATCTTTCCAACGTTATTAATTTAAGTAGCTATTTGTCATCCCATAAGTGGAAGCAGCTAATTTTGATCATAAGAAGGAACTTATTTTTTTAATAACTATATGTATCTCGGATTCAGTACTTACAGTCATTTTAAGTTGAATGAGACCAAGCTAGTTGGCACCATCCAATTTGAAAAATAAATGTAATCTTTTTTATTTCAAAATCTCGAATGAGCAGATTTATAGAAGATGAACCACATAATAATAAAATTAGGGCCATTTTACAATATATCCCGTGGTAGAATGCTACATTTTTACGCTATTTTTGTGACGCTTTGTTTAATAATAATGGTCATTCAATGGGCATTCACCATTTACATCATGTACATGTACAATCAAATCTAATAAATTTCTGATTTGTCAATCTATCTGAATAAAAGTTGGTAACATTGAATTTCTATAATTTTTAACTTTACTACTTGGAGTACTACAAGTAAAAAATTTTAAGCCACTTCCTTAAATTGAAAAAAAATGTGCGGTAACAGTTGAAGATAAGTACAAAAGATTTAAAATTGAGAAAAAAAAAAGTATTTTTAACGGTCGATTAACAATTAAACAGATTAAGGATAAAAATATATAACAGATAAAATTTCGGATACGTTAAAAAGATCTGCAATCGATAGTATACATATATTTTTAGATATCTGCCGTGTAACAATCGATATTACAAAATCTCACTGATGTTAAATAATGATCAGTTAAATTTTTGAATTAAAAGGAACAGTACATTTAAATTCTGATGATAAGTTTTCTTTTACAAAATTTAATTTTTTTTTATACAAAAAACTGACGATAATGAGGCAATCAATTCTTTTTTGAGAGAATAAGTACTTATCATACATTTAAACATTTGACAAATGATAAATTTTTATTAATAAGATTAAAGAAAAAAGTTAAAAATTATGAATGAAAATAATTTTTCTAAACAAATATGGTAGCAATATTAATTTATAGCAGATTTTAGCATTTATCAAACTTTGAAATCATTTCGGACATGGTACATACAAAGAAATAACAGCTTCGAGTATTCTGTTGACGCCGCGCTGATAGATATAATCGCTCAATGATCGTCTGTCGGTACAATTATTACAGGTGTTTATCAAGATCAAATCGAAATCGCGCTCGCGTGCACTACTCTAAAAGTACGAGAGAGAGAGAGAGAGAGAGAGAGAGAGATAGAAAGAAAGACCAACGTGAGAGAATTTGACACCGCAATTCGACTAAATTTTTTATCGTGACTCATTCTCTATTCTTCCACTAAAAATGTACTTGCATTATATTACAAAAGAGATGGAAAAAAAATTTGACGTATTGTCAGGAAGATATTTTCCCTGCTAATGGGTATGGGTGTATCCCACTCGACTGGGTCAATGTCGAATGCTGTCTTGCTGCTGGTCGATCGAAAGAGCATACGCACAACGTTGACTTGCACTGGATATATGACTCGCGTATTTCCCCAACTACTCTTTCCGTCTATTTAATCATTCCTATGTACACACGGTACAACGAATGTCTCGTGAATCAAGTCTTTTCAATTGATTATCCGTTTTGTTATTTCTTTTTTTTTTCATCTCGTCTATGATGTTAGCTTAGAAACTCTAGTTAATTGCAATTGCGTAAAGAATTAAAAATGAGCTAATAGTATCAAAGTGACTGAATCGTTACATTGGCACTCGGCATTACTTGACATTTTATTTTTCACTTCTGTGAGTCCATTCTTTAATCGATGAATTGGGCCGATGTTTGGTTGAATTTTTAAATCATACCAAAAAAGTAAATCTCCTATAATAAAGTTTCATCGGATAAAATTAAAGCCAACTAAGGGATCAAGGCGCGAAACAAGAGATCGATAACTGAGTATAATGAAGTTCCTGTGCACGTTTTTCTTGCTTTTTACATTGCTAAATCGCTCAAAATGTAAAGTTCTCGTTGATCGATTAAATAAAAATTAATACCAAACTAAAACGTAAACGTTTAATGAAAATTAGAATTGTTACATTGAAATTTTGACCCAACTTGTCAACGTTTTGAAATCACAATAACTAAAGCAACTATGTCAAATGCATCATGATTTTTTCGAGCTAATATCATTTTCATACTAGTTAATACAGTCAAATGATCAGTGAATGAATGACTATTATACTAACTAAATTACTTAGTGAACATCAAGAAAATAGTTTTTGTACACACGTTAATACTTGTTTAAAGGAATGCACTTTCAACGGAAACAATTTTATTTTAATTTAAACTACTTTTTTCATCAGTAAATCTATTTATGATATGCTAGCGTGCATGAAATCATTTAGTCATTGAACAAAACAGGAATTTTCATTGTTTTCACCAGTGATTGAATAAACTTCAAAGAGTTCGTTCGTTGTAGAGGTTATGTTTATAGAGTCAGAGCAAAAAGACTCGAATGGTATTTACAGTCAACTACAAATCTAAAACGCGCTATACGCATGAATGGTACTATAAGGATAAAATTTGAAAATTACATACGACCTATAATCGCTATACCTCTTTTATCAATGGATGTACTTTTGTATTTATGGATGGATTATTAAATGATAACACTAAAGGTTATCTATTAGATACATTTTTCATTTATTGACCTCGTTGTATGGTAAAATTACCTTATAAAATTTTAAATATCACTCTTTCATTTTTACTTCACGACGGTTTGGAGGATTCATTTACGTATACGTTTTCAAATGGTTTACATTTCCAAAAATAATTATCGTGATGTTTTAATTTAATTTATAACACTCTAACTTGAAAATCAAAACTTTGTTGCTAGTTTGAAGTTCTTGCGTTATGAAATATTGAATGTAACGGTTTTGCATGAGCTTTCTTAACAAAACTCGTTATAACATGTAACCCCTCGTTTTACAGAAAAAACATATTCATATCCATTGGATAACACATTACTATAGCGGATTTCTTGACACCATTCATTTTCTGGATAGTCGACCCCAAATGTATTTTTTACAGATCAATAAAATTATGAATATTCTGAGATAATTTGAGATTCGAGAAAAATACATCTAATTAAACTTGAAAACTAAAATTCCATGTTGCATAAATAATAATTTCTTGAATAATTGAAAACAATTTTTGTTATTATTATATTGTGAAGTAAACTAATGGCAATAATCGTTCGTAGTTCGATAATATAGCTTATATTTCATTTATAAATTTCCAGTATAGCTGCGCTGTTACTGAATATGATATAATTCTCTCCCAAATAACTTTATTACGAAATTCTTATTCATAAATATTGTTCAATTAATTTTATGGGGTTCAAACTGTAGGAGTTTCATTCTCTCCTTCATAAGAAAATCAATTATTGTTTTCATTTAATTAAAAAAAATCCTGCCAAAAGTTTATTCATAAGTAAAATTTCGATAAAGGGGCTTTAATATTATTAGTTTTTTTGTTAAATTTATGAGTTTTGCTTAAAAAATGTACATCATTTCCTCGACACATGAACAATAAACTATTGAATTTTGGTATTGATTGGTTTATATGTTTAGGATTTATCGTGGTTATTGCAGATAAATCAAGTAAAATTCACTCGAATTCACATTATGATTAGGGTAATTCATTAAAATGAATGAATATACATGACTAAATTTTATATTTTATGCTAATACTTAAATAAAATAATTTATACCCAGATAATTATAATAATTCAATTCTATTTTTTTAAGTTGGGTCGATAACCATTGATATACTGAAAATATAAATTGATTTAAACAAAAATATAACTTGTTAGATGAAACTCGAAAGAAAAAAAATTGTTAACTTCAGTTATATATAAATGTATTTTTTAAAGATTTACATCTTGGTGAGAAATTAAAACTTTTCAATAACGTGATAAATTCATTTGAACAATGAGAAAAATTTTATCAAACACTCATAAAAATTAAATCGTATCGTAAATCTTTATGTATCTGTGAACCCGATGTTGTAATTATTTATTAATCTTGGTTCCAACGTCTAACCGGTGTATTCATGAGAAAAATTTTCATAAGTTTCTTATTAATTTTCATTTTAATAATCATTGTGTTTGAAGAATAATTGTATGAAATTTTTAAAGTTGAAAAAATATTTTTTATGTCTCCGATAGAATTTTTCACATTGGCAACGCAGTTTTTAAAATTGAAAAAGTTCCGTTGCTTATTGAGATACAGCTGTTTGCATAAGGTCTCTTTGCATAAATATTGGACAAAATTTAAAAAATAATGTCTGGCAATATAACGCTAAAAAATGTTTCTCTTAGCACAGTATTTCACAAAATCCATTTCAGAACCAGACCTCAGATTTTCGGTACTTTAAAAGGTAAAGAAAATCAAAGTATTTTAGTTTATAATTCACGCAACATGATGAATTGTTTTAATGTGGTTGGGAAAAAAAATTCAATGAAACTGCTCGTGCTCGCTTACATAATTTTACACACTTTTATAACAGTAATTAGATATTTTGAAAATATAATGTATTCAAATATGTTTGCTGCAAATATTTTCAATAATCATTTATAAAAGCAGTTTAAAACTATTCAAAAAATTTAAATAAACTGTAAGAAAAAATTCATCGTTCAAAGCCTTTTAATGCTTTTATAACTTTTGAAACTTCAATTCTCGAGCAGTAAAATTTGGGTAATTCTGCTGTCATAAAAAGATTTGTTATAATACGTCAAATATTTTCTATTAAACTGCAAATATTTGGTTGCGTGTCATAATCATAACGTTTTACGTATTGTGTTCGATTACAGAAAGTCGTAATCTGTAGCTTACTCGCGGTTAGAGGAAAAGGCTAATGGAGCGAAAAAATGAATTCACTCGTAATAAATCTGCTAGACTATCAAACATTATGTAATTTTTTTCTAAAGAGAAATTGTCAAACGCGTGACACGAGGTCAAATGGAAGAGCACAACGAAGTCTCTCGATAGATGACACGCGTACGTGTGTAATGCCAAGGATAGATGTCACACACGTTGGATAATCTCTCGTACCGATTGCGATCTCGTCACGATCGGCACGAGCGTTGTAGATCGCGGTGGCAGTCGCGACGCGAAAAATATCGCGTACGCGTCTATGAAGGGGCTCGAACTCGTTGTTACGTTTCGCGAGTCACGAAGCTCGCGCCTATCGCGATAATTATACGTCACGAGGAATTAGCCACGCTTGGAGTGCCTTTATGACGTTGAGGCGCTGATTCGGAATTCATCTTAGTATATATAATGAAACTGTGGCCAGTTCAAATCATTATACATTATTTCGTAATTCGAGCAAGACTTTCGAGTCATTCATTCGTTTCAAGTACAAAAATTCATCACAATGAAGAGAGCTTTCTTCATTTTATTAATCGTTGCTTCCATCTCAGGTATGCATCTTGTTACTTAATATAATTGCATCATTAGTTATTTGTGGTTAATCATTTCTACAGAACTAAGCATTACTATTTTATTTTCAGCAACTTTTGGCGAATCCAATGGTGTTGAAAAGCAAGTTTGTGAACCTAAGAGTACTTTTAAAAACTACTGCAACATATGCTTTTGCTCCGACGATGGTCTTACCGCTGACTGCGGCAGGAAGTTATGCGATCCTAACGTATGGAATCCCGATGGAACTCGCAGACCATTAGCTCCTTTATCGCTTTACAAGTCACTTAAACAAGTCTGTAAACCTAGCAGTCCCTTCAAAATGGACTGCAACTACTGCACCTGCTCCGATGACGGTACAAAATTTGCCTGCACTAGAATGGCATGCCCCAAGGGATATACCGGTGTAAATCTCTTTAAGAAATCGGCAGTTCATAAAATAGTCGCGGAACTTGCCCGAATCTGCGAGCCTAACACATTTTTCAAAATGGACTGCAATAACTGCATTTGTGACGAAACAGGATTCCGACCTATGTGCACAAAAATGTATTGTCCCAAAGGTTTTACTGGTGCAAAATCGGCAGTTCATAAAAGAGTCGCGGGATCTGCCCAAGTCTGCGAGCCTAACCAAGGTTTCAAACTGGACTGTAATCACTGCAGGTGTAACAGCTTTGGAACCAAATACATGTGCACAAAAATGCTTTGTCCAAGATATAACGGGAACGAGGACCACGCAATGATTTTTTAATTTCAGGAAAATTTTAGTTTCCGAAATTTAGTTAACATTTGTTAAGATGATTATTTGTTAAATTAATTTTTACAAATATCGCCAAGATCTGTTTTATAAAATATTTTATTTTATATGAATTAAATGCATGCGATGTGTGCTTATAAAGATGTTTTAGTCTTTTTACTATATCAAGTAATTTGTTTTAAAATTACAATAAATAAATGAGATTCCAATGATACAATGACAATGTAAAAGCACAATTTATTTCCCTATACCTAGCCATAATTTGTATTTTTCGTAAAATATCAAATGCTTGAATCAATGATCACCTTGAACATTTAAAATTGACTAATTTAAATTACATATTAATTATGAGTAACAGCAGTAGCTTTATTCATTGATTTGTGCTTTTCATCGCAGAAAAAATGCTGTCTAATCACAATTAGCGTTTGCTTAAGAAAACATGTTTGTCACCCACGCATAAAAGTATATAATCATGATATGGAGATATCTTTCAACGTTATTTTAAGTAATCAATTCAGAAGTGAGTCTTCGTATCAATTATAGAAATATACCTGATATCAAATAAAAAAAAACGTTTAGCAGTCATTTTTTTATAATTATGGATTAAACATTTGCGACAGTATGGTTCCAGCTTGTTCTGTTTGTTTAAACTGAAATAAAATTTTTTACATCTTTTAAAATCGAGTTAAAGAAAAACGAAAAGCACGATTAATGTTTAATATTCGATTAATTCATAATTTATTTAAGTATACACTTTTTTAGAAAGTTTTTGAATTTCATTGAATCTAAACCCTTTGATCTACTTGATGATTTTATCAAAAACGTTGGAATTAACATATGATAATATAAAAGTATCTTTATACTTGGATAAACTTTATGACATTTAATTTTAAGCACTTTTTGAGCTCACATGTATTTCTAAGATTTTTGGTTAACAAGAACTGTTGAGGCAAACCGAAATTTTTAACAAGTTCAGTTCGTGAATTATGCCTTAGTCTCATTTTTGAGCGATCAAATTAAAACTTGCAGCGTTGAAAAGACCACGGTGAAATTAAGAAATGTGCTTTTAAGCCCCGAAGCTCAATTATGATGTATTTTTCTTTTTTTAAAAAGCTTCATTTTTGTATAAAATTTGGAAAAAAGAGTTGAATCATCCACGTCTACATTAAAGTATCCTTTTAAAGTGAATCAAACATCGTCATTTCCAATAACATGATTCTTTCATTCTTTGGATACTCTTTAAAGCTCATAGTGCTTCTACTGAAATTTTTTATCTTCTGAAAAAATTTTGCACAACATTCCAAAATAAATTACTCGTGCATCGAATTTATTTTCCGTTAAAAGAATGATTGATTTATCGAGGTACAAAGCAAAAATATTTCCGCAATAAAATTTAGTCGCGAAAAACATGTCTACGTGCCGCACAGCTCCTACGAGCTTGCTCAGATATTCCAATAAACAGGCTTTAAGATGATTGCGCCTACCTATATCTATAGCGCACAATAACTCTTGCGCGATCCTCGCAGGGGTCTTGCAGTCATCGCCGAGCGGGATCTTACAATATTACTTTATCCTCGGATCGTCATTATTATATGACAATGAGAATGACTTTTAATTAATTCTCATCGCGTGAGTTCAATTGCAATCTCGATGCCTCGATATGTTCACGTGAACGCAAAACAAGCGTCAGAGATAAGGAGCGTCAGCTGGTCAGCGGAAGCCGCGCCGGCGATCGGCTCGACCGTCCCTTTCCCGATTATCGGTAAGATGTAGTTCGCGGATAAGATATCAGTTGCTCGAGTAATCTATGCAACTCCTTTCTTCTTGCTGACTTTTCTCGAATCGCCGATCGGCTATATATTCCAATCGGAAATGCAGATCGACATCATTCGCAGGACTGACTGCAATCAGAACGCAGTTGACTTTACCCATTATTCGATCGAGTCTCACTCGGCTATTTTCTGTTTAAAGAGTTCGCAAAGTTGTACGAATTGTTAATCATGAAGTCGCTCCTAGCCGTACTCTTGCTCGCATCCACTGTTTTGGGTAAGTACCATCTTCGCTTTGGATTTTCTTCGAGCGGAGCTTTCATGGGCACATAGAAAAATTAAAACCCTTGAAATTTACAGCTCAAGATGCGTGCAAGCCCGGATCGTTCTTCAAGATCGACTGTAATATGTGCTCGTGCTCGATGGACGGCAGTATTGCGGCTTGCACAATGATGGCCTGCCCGAAGATGAAGGACGAACCGAAAATTCAGCCCGTCGATACGCTACGCAAAAGTAAGTAGGAGATATTCTTTTTTTTTCCTCTTCTTTTAATATTTTACTTTGGGGCAGCCGGGGAAAAAACTTTTGTGTATATACTCGAGCAAAGTTTTGGCCGAGGCAAAAAGGAGGACAGTTTGCGAAAAGTTTTTCATATTTTTTTACCATTTCCAGGCATGAGATGCAAGCCCCAAAGCGTTTTCAGCCCGGATAACTGTAATCTGTGCAGATGCAGCGACGATGGCACGCAAGCCCTGTGCACCCTGAAAATTTGCGCTCGAAGCCTCGCAGGTATTAGCTCATAAATAAGGAGAAAATCTCTCGCTTATTCTTTCTCGCGATTATGCATTCAGTTATTAAACGCGTGAATCGTCTTAATTTTGCAGCGACACCGAAACTAATGTGCGAGCCGAATAAGCCGTATCGCGATTACTGCAACGAGTGCGTGTGCTCGAGCGACGGAACATTGTCCATCTGCACGAAAATGTTCTGCGACAAAAACGTCTGGAACAAAGACGGCAGCGTGAAAATCAACTCGAGCAAGAAGCAGCAGCAGCAGCAGCAAGTTTGCACACCGAAGAGCCGCTTCCAAGAGAACTGCAACAGCTGCTTCTGCTCCGACGACGGCCTGTCGAAATTCTGCACGATGATGGACTGCGACGCCCTCAAACTGCCCACGAGGCAGCAAAAACAGATCTGCTCTCCTCGCTCGACCTTCGTGGAGGAGTGCAACACTTGCGTCTGCTCGGAGGATGGACTGAGCAAGGCCTGCACGATGAAGTTCTGCGCCAAAGACAACAGCGAAATCGTCGACGAGGCGGCCGAGCAACAATGCCAACCTGGCATGACTTATAGTCCGGACGGATGCAATACCTGCATCTGCAACAAATACGGCACGGCGTCGGCTTGCACCTTCAAACTCTGCGTCAACGATGCGATAACCATCACGAGGGATGAGCCAAACGTACGAGCTTGGGGTCGTAAGTATTTTTACACATTTTTCAGTTCCATCCTGATAACCTGACGACAATGAAACAAGATTATTCACGCAATTAAATTTTTCCAATGACAGCTAAATACAATCAAGGCGACTCGTGCACTCCCAATTCCGCTTTCTACAGCGAGTGCAATCAATGCGTCTGCTTGAAGGACGGCAAGAGTGCCTACTGTACGTTCATGTGGTGCGGGGCTCTATCTGGATTACACTAATTTCATAATTCATAATTAGTTAGGCCTAGAATATTTAAAAAATTATATTTGTTTCAAATACAGATAATCGATGTAATATATGAAACGACGCGAACAAAATTTTCATGCATAGCAAAGTTCAACGATCGTTCATACATGCATCATCTGTCAATTTCGATCTAAATTAGATTGCTTAGCGTGTAAGGATCAAGTCACCTATAGTGATAAAGACTGATTGGCGAAAATGTTTTAGGTTTTTCATTTTTATTGTACATATATAGAAATATTTGTTTGTTAATAAAAAATTTTATATACATTTTTATGTATGAATTATAGCTAATGAGTGGACATTAATAAACGAAACTTTACTAATGGAACTATAAAACAAGTCGTTGAGTTTTCTTACCTTTTTACCAAATATATACATCTATATTGTACGGTTGTGTTATATATACCTAATACAAGCTGCAAATTTTTACCGAGAAAAGTGAAGAAATGCAGTCAAGTTTTAACACGATTAACGAGGTACAAACTTTAAGCAAATACCCATTCGAAGGCGAACGCGTAGTGTGTACAGTTTCTTGAAGATGGGCAAATGAAGAGAGATCGGAAAGTAGCGTACGTCCAAACTTTCGACTTAGAAAGTCTACATATAGCCGAAGGAACTCGTCATTTTTAACGATTCTCGCGTGCTAAATCAAACCAACTCCTGGGGTAAGAAAGAAAATGACAGAGAGAGAGAGAGAGAGAGAGAGAGAGAGAGTATTGAATCTTCCAAATGAATGATGTCGCCATATAGGATCGCACCTGCAGCGTTTGACTAAAGTTACTCAGCCCCACACACACACACACACGCACACACTCACAGCTCGTCTCCCGATACTCTCTCGGGGACGCGCATCGTCGTCGTCATCGCAAGTGCGAGATTGTAAAGTTGGTCGCCGCCGCCGTCGCTGCTCATGGATGCCCCGCCTGTACTGCAGTGAAACCGAATACCTAATGCAATTACGCTAAGCAGATCACGGCAAACTTATATGCTGCTGGCTCGGGCTCTGTGCTGCCTCGAGTTGTCTGCGACACGACCTAAGCTCTGTGCTACGCAAGGCACATAATATCATGAGCTCCCATTTGACGGATAATAATTACTTCGACTACGCGGAGCTCTATTGGGCGTGTAAACCTTTCTGCTGCTGCTGCTGCTGCTGAAGATCTTCACGCGACAGAGAAAGAGCAAGAGTTGCAGTTCGCTGGCTGCCAATAATTAATTGCGAGCAATTAGTCCCAGGGACAAAAAGCAGTTGCTGAAAATACACTCGGTGTGTACCCCTGCGTTGATATACGCCATATTTTTCGACTTGATCCACTCGTACGAGCGGCTACATAAGAAAATCATCGCTCGCTTGTGTTTTATATTCCCTTTTTTATTATATTTTCTTCTTCCTTCTGCCGCTGCTACTGCTGCCACTACTGCGCCAGAGTTACTCGAGATGACCGTAAATTTTGTAAAGGTTCGCTCTCGAGTCTGCAAAGAAAAGAATGCAAACTAGCCGAGTAAAAAAAAGCCAGCAGCGGTGCATACATATACTACGTGCATACATGTATATATAGAGAGGGAGAGAGAGAGGACGGCAACGAGGACGACGCGAGATGCAGCAAGGCGTATATGCAATGTACTCGGCCATACTGTACACATGCTGTACGGTCAAACTACTGCGAGAGAGAGAGAGAGAGAGAGAGAGAGAGAGAGAGAGAGAAGAGGGCCAGCAGATACAAAGGACGTAGGAATAGTGGACGCGCTTCTGGGACGAGAGAGCCGAGCCGCGGGGGATGACGGAGGGAAAAACGAGGCGAAACAAGCGCAGCTGCAGCAGCGGCCAAGGAATCCTCTTCTCCAGCTCTCTGCCTCCTCCACTCCCTTATGGACATGCAGCTACAATGGGCCAGCGAACTTTCCGCTTCACGCTCGACGTCGCCGCTTGCGCAAGCTTTTGTCGATCGACTTGCTGCCGCTGCTACTGCTTTTTTTCTCTCTTTTCTTGCCTCTCTCCCTTTTTCTATCTTCACCTTTATTCTCTTCGGCCTCGCTCGCTCCGCACATGCTCGACTCAATTCTCCATCTACTGTATTTGAATCTCTTCAGAAAACCTTATTTCTCTGAGCGCGCGCAAGCGGATCGGCGGGGGCCAGAGCTTACTCGCTAGAGCGTGCCATACATGGACACAATTTGCACACTGCTGCACGTACACAGTATACACAGTATAGCAGCAGCTACAGCAACAGCAGCAGCAGCGATCCCCCGAACGTCATTTTTATTATGCGTTTGTTCGCGTATCTATGTATACACGCGCGGAGTAGTTTGGATTTGGTCGTGCTCCGTCTCTGCTGCTCGTGCATATCGGATATTCTACGCCGCTCTAGTCGGCGGCGGCAAAAGTAACAGCCAATTCGAGGCTTTGAGCCGCAGCAGCGGCAAGCCCGGCAAATCCCGCGAGCGTCTGCGCGCGCGTCTATTACGCGGATGTTGCTCTCTCTCTCTCTCTTGCCGAAGCCAAATCCTCCTATAAATTTCTATATGATGTGCTATATACAAATATATAAAACCAGCAGATGAAACTTGGAGTAGTCGAATTTTTTTAACGAGGTATTCGCTCGTTACGTCCCGCGCGCAGAAATTTTCAACTAGGCATTGCGTCGATGTGGGGAAATGCTCGTTCATATTATGCATATTCACGAATAAAAGTATACGAGCCGAGTTAACGAGATCCCCTAATATAACATTGCGTTTTAGTTGCGAAACGAAATAAAAATTTTACAAATCTCGTTCTCGAGATGCGTGTTTACATCGCACACACACACACACACACAAGGTTGTTGCAGTGAATTCCGAGTCCAAATTACTGCGTCTTTTGCGATAACTTGAGTTAAAACTCGACAACGTATACGAGCTGCACGAATTCTTACGTACACCTTTTTGTTTGTTTATACGCTTACACGTATACGTAAGTACAACAGCATAAATAAGAGACTCGAAATTCGACGTCACGAGGCAAGCGCATACGCGCGTGAGCTCGCCCTGAGCAAAGAGATTAAAGATTTCCAGTCGCATACGCAAATAAAATTACTAACAAGTATAGCGCATTAATTTATACGCACGCGCGCTGTATACATACGTGTATGCGAAAACGTAGAGAAATTTATCTCGCTCGCGTAGAGGTATATATCCGAGTTTTGGTCCAAGTCGGTGCAGCACGTACGCCCCGTGACGTCCTTGTTCAGTGTGACTCGTCAGCAGTCGGGGGAAAATTCAGCGAGCTTCCGACAATCGTAAATGTTTGCGCACGGAGAAAATACTCGACGACGGATAAGTCACGTGTATGCGATTTCGAGAAAATCAAGATTTCAGACGAGGATTTTTCAATAAACCGGCATTAGCCCAATTTAATTCGGAGGACGGTATACGCCAAATACCGATAATGCGAATGATCGGGCTAATGTCCCCGATGAGATGGATCACGACCTGTTGCGGTCAACTGCGCGGCCGGGGGCGTCTATATAATTGCGAGCCGCATCTATACTGTATAATATATAAGAGACGTCGAAAAGCGAGAGGGAGAGCTCACCGAAAAAAAGAGCCCGATAATTCGATGAGCTAATTCGAGCTCCAAGTTTTAAAAGTAATCCTGTCGCTCTGTTTAAATTCTTTAAGCCGATGGACTTGCCGCACGTCCGAAAAAAAGTACGTCGTGCAGAAAAAAAAAAGAAAAGCCCGTATAGGTATCGCGCAACTTGCCGAGCCTTTCATCAAGCACTTGGTGCAAAAGAGTAACTTTTTATTATTCCCGACATTATACTGTTATGCTAATGAAAAAATTTTCCCTCCTCGACTCTCTTTGACTCTTCGTTTCCGTTTCTTCTTCTTCTTTTTTTTTTTTTCTTACGCACTCCGAGCTTGTAGAAAGTCTCGAGCTGCGAGTACAAATGCTTTTTAAAAGCCGCTCGGCGGCGAACGAGTGAGAGAAAAGGCTCGGGCGCGTGCGCTGCATAGTTGTTGGCGACGTCTAATTGATTAATAGAGTCTCGGGCACCCCCCCGAGCTTTATGCACTGTATATATATTAAGCAAGCCCAACTGCTGAGCGAAACAATGGAAATCACTGTTTAAATCTCGCCCCGTTGAGCGTCTTGCTTTCTCTTCGCGCTGCAACTGACGGGCCTCTGACTGACTTGCTCTTTTTTTTTTCTTACTTCTTTATTATCCGGTAACAATCGAGATCTAAAACTAAATCTTCTGTATTCGATAATACCCTTATTATACTTTGCACGAGCTAATTATCAAATTCGCCTGAACATATCGAACTGTGCAGCTGTAATTCGACACTTTAGGAATATTTTATCCATCGATGCTTTGATGATTTTTAAACCAATTATTTCCTCAAAAGGAAAAATAAACGGTTAGCTCTAATAATAACCATAATAATAATTTACATGAAGCTCGAAAGCGAAGTGGTGGCAAATTTGCCTGCGCAGGTATGCTCTTTTACGCATAACAAAATTGTCAGAAAAATGAAAATTAATTTCAAACAAATGCGACCCAGTGGGCCAGGTGCCCTGCAACAAAAGTCCAGTTCTCTCTAGCAACCACTGCGGCGATGTTTCACAGCTCGACAGTCTCTCCTTCGTTTTTTCTTTTTTTACGCGCACCTAGGGTTCCTCTGCACCATACGGAAGCAGCAGCAGAAGCAACAGCAGCAGCTTTTTTCTCACACATATACACACGCAAAACTTCGTTAAAACGCCCTAATACTTTCATAACGTCCCCGCAGGCCAAGAGAGAAAGAGAGCGAGAGGATCTCGATTATATTTGCGAATGCTCTCCGCGCAGCAGTTTTCGCGCGTATACAGCAGCGGAGAATTTTTAATAAACTCCTCTCCATATTCAAGGAGGTGTGTTCTCATTGCCAACCCTCCCGTTTCTGCGTTATTTATCATTAATTTTCTAATTGTAACGAGTATATATATTCTATGAGAGCTCGACGTTTCGCGAATATAGAAATGAACTACGAGTGCAGCTTCGCAACTCTCGCCCTGGCTTATTGTTCGCCTGCAAACTTTTGCCGAGAGTCATTGATTGTTATTTTTCATTTCCCATTCGAAAACTGACTTTTCCCGGGATTTTTTCTATAAAAGCTCGCTGCACTCTCGTAATTTGGCTCCGGGCTGATATAAAAATTTATCGTCACAAAGAGAAAGATGAAAAAAAGAGAGAGAGCGAGAAAGAGAAAAAAAAGCCGCTCGATCGTAATCATAGTCAATTACAAATCGGCCGATAAGTAATCGCACT